AAAATTAAAATTAAAATATTATAAATTAAATTAAAATACTATTATATAAATGTTGTATAAAATAATGTAATTGATAAATTTTATTTAACTTACTTCAATTACAGATGATGTTTTGGCTCGTGTGATATGTTTTTTGTGTATTTTATCTAATATCTCATCTAAAAAAAAATCATTTTTTTATTAATCTCTAGAGCAAAAAAGGGAAGAAGGAAATAAATATAAATTTTCAGTAATATATATTTTAATATGTTGTTATAGCATATTATTTTATTTTTTTTATATTCTATTGCATAAAGAATATACATATGTATATATAATATATATGTATATAATTAATTCTTAATATTTATATTGTCAAACAGTATAAGTAATATTATTCCACAAGACTTTTCAATTTCATTATTCAGATGCGTAAAATTTCTGATTGCAAAGGCTTTAAATTTCTACGCCACTAAAACTGAAAATAATAGATTTTTATTACGTTGGATTATAATCATATATTTATCAAGGATAAAAAGCAATGAATAATTAAAAAAAATGAAATCACAAAGTTATTGTAACTATGTCTCTATAGTACGAAAATCTATGTAGAAGAAATAAATACTTAAAAAAATAATAATATAGATTTTCGAAACAGCAATTCAACTAAAATGCGTTAGAAATGCAATAAGAAAAACAGGTATACTTGGCAGTGATTAGAAATAGAATTGTAGATAATAATAGTATTGGCATCGTTTAGAGAAACTTAAGGTCGTAAGACAGTAGTTATTTGAATCTTTGTCCTAAGAAATATTTGATTGCACCTTTCTTTGTGATTGAAAGTATTTCTTTTTCCTAGCCAGTTGCATCTTATACATTGTGATGAGAAAAAAAACAAAGAATTTTCCTAACTTACTTCCTGTGCGAATTAATGAGAATCATAGTAAATCAAGTAAACATAAAAGAGAAAAAGAGAGAGGGAGGGAGGGAGGGAGGGAGGGAGCGAGAGAGAGAGAGAGAGAGAGAGAGAGAGAGAGAGAGAGAGATATGACCAAAGGGCAATGAGTGAATTGCACAATCTCGCATGTCCGCGAGTCAGAATTGAGATTGGCAGTAGTCAGACGGCTACCGTGTTAAGAGGAAGTTGAAAGTTGCGTAAGAGTGCATCTCGCGCGTTTTGCCGAGCGTTATGTCGCGGTTTATTTGCACGAAGATAAAAGTGAGTGATTTCCCTTTTATTATTACGAAAAAATGAAAGCATTGTATGATATGTGGTTTATATATATGATAATATGTATATATAAATTCCAATTATAGTGCATGACTGATGATAAAGTTGCGATATGTATTCCTTTTGACGTATCCATGTTGTGTTGATTCTACATTTATATTTCTTCCATTTAAATCACAGTTGTTTCTGCATTATAAAATTTACTTTATTTTGCATTTGCAATAATATAATGGTATTTCGATTTATTTTCCGTACTGAAATAATATTATATTTTGCAAGTTGTTATATATACTTTACAAATTTTTATTGAAACTATTATATTCATGTTTAAA